GAGAGAGAGAGAGAAAAAGAGAGAGAAGGAGAGAGAAAGGGAGGTAGAGAGAGAGGAGAGAGAGAGAGAGAGAGAGAGAGAGAGAGAGAGAGAGATATTGATATATTTCATTAAAGGAAATGGCTCACACAGTGGTGGAGGCTGGCAAGTCCCAAGTCCATGGGTCAAATATTAGGCTCATGTTGCTGCAAGGGCTGATGAACCCAAGATCATCAGGCAACATGGCGGGCCACTGGTTCAAGTCCAAGAACTGGAGGTCAGATGATGATGAATGAGATGCAGGATCAAGATGGAGAAAAAAGCCAGAGAGCTTTTGCCAGACGTCCATGTATACAGTGGAAGCAGGCCACACCCCTGAGGAAGTGCCCTGTCCACTGATTGGCTGCTCCTAGCAGATATCCTCATGGAGGTGATTACATTGTATCAGGTTCATCGTGGGGGATGACTACATCATAACTGACAGACCACTGAGCATCCTGGCCCAGCCACGTTGACACCCAACCTTCACCATCAGAGGCTTGACAGTCAGCAGTAACTTTGTTACTAAAGCTCTGTGGTCCATCAGGAGCCCCTGGGCAGTGCAGTGGTGACCGTGCTCGGCTGCTAACCAAAGGGGGGAGGTTCAAGTCCACCGAGAGGCCTTGGAAGAAAGGCCTGGAGCTCTCCTCCTCAAAGAGCAGCCACTGAGAACCCTGTGGGGTACTGTTCTACGCTGACACACGTGGGTCACCGTGACTCAAGGTCACCATGACGCGGGGTCACCCATGGCAACTGGTCGCACCGTAGTTTTGAGGATCATCTGTTAGCTGTTTTCTGGCTACAGTGAGCCGACTTGGTCTTCACTCAAATACACAGGGCACTTTCCCTGCACCAGCTCCCATGCCATCCACATCCTGGCCATTTAACTTGCTGTGTGATTTCCCAGAGTGACCAGCAGGGGGTGTGGCAGGACTGGTCTCAGGGCTGCCTGTGTGGCAGGGCAGGGCACACGGGGGGGGGTGCTGCTTCAGGCCACCACCATATCCCTGCCACGCTTTACGGTTGTGCCCTGGGTCCGTGTAGCCGCAGGGGAGGTGGATCCCAGTTGTCTTGTTCAGCTCCGCACGCTGGCCCACAGTGCCTGCCCAGTGTTCCGGAAGATTCTCTGTCTCGCCACTCCTGCCAACCCCCACGAAAACGGCTCTCATTCTGTGGTGAGGTGTCCTGTGGGAAGAAAGAGCTCATACTGGAATTGGGGGTATTACAGTATTAGCTCATACTGTGACTGGAAAGCTGAACATCCCTGGGCCCCCTGGAGAAACTGCCCTGCGGCCCCCCCATCCCTGGCTCCGAGCCCCATGGGCCCCCTCCCTGCTCTGGCCGCCCTGGCCCTCGGCGGGCCCTGCTCCGTGGCAGCTGCAAGCAGGACTGCTCAGCGGTGACACAAGCCCTTTTCCACCTCGGCCAAGTCCTGGGTGGCCCACAGTGTAAGCAGCCAGTGGGCTGCAGGGTCCTGTGGCCTGGTGGCAGGAAGGGCCTCCTGGGACCAGGCAGGGCCTTGCGGGAAGGGAAGCGGTGGGCTGTGCTGGGTCTTGTCTCAGATGGTTGCTGACGGCCCACACTCGGCCTTCTCTCTCAT